GCAATCGCGCTGCCGGCTCAATCGCCCCAAGTTCTACGACGCACAGGTATGCCTGGATGCTCGTGGAGTCGTTGGGCAGAATGCTGGGGGCTGATGATGCGAAGCAGCGGCTCCAGGACACCATCAACGTCGAGGACACGTGTGCGAACAGTGGCACGGCTACCAATTCGGACAAGCCATGCACAGGAGTGGCAATCTGCAACTACACCGACCCTGATCGGATGATGCAAGCGGAACGTGAAGCTCAAGCTGAGGAGGACAGGATGGAAGCAATGAAAAGAGCGCAAGCTCTAGCTGAGTATGAGACACACTTGGAAGATGAAGCCAGAGAGGATGAAGATCGCTACGAAACCATGCGGGCTGCAAAGATGTGAGAGTGGGATGACTGGGTTATGGAGCAAAATATGGGTGGAAGCTCTGGCCCAAAGGGCGCCCGACTCAGTATCCAGGTTTTTTGCAAGGTCAAGCAGTGGAGCCGGCAGTGTGGTTGACTTGGTCCCTGGCTCCAGCGTTGGCATCACGATGTCGGCTCAAGGACCGGAAGAAACCAGCAGTCCAGCAGCATGTGGCTTTGGCGGTGGCAACGTGGATCGCAGTGCTTCTGCAGCATCGACAATGCCAGTGGACAACATGAGGCTGATCCCTGAAATGCCGTCAACACAGCTTTTGTTGGACTCCTTCTGGTAGTCAGAACAGGGTGAGGAAGTGTGGAAAAGGCGGTGCTTGGACAAATGGAGGCGGTCATCGCAGCGGAACTTCTGCTGCAGCCAGACAAGAAGGGAACCTCCATGGAGCTTGTCAACAAGTGTGAGAGGGAGAACACTGATGGAATTGCCGACTGTAGTCTGACTTTCGCCCGGTCCACAAGGATCTTCGCCTGGATGCAAGGTGAAAAGAGCGCTAAAAAATAGTAGTTTCCATTTTCATTTCCATGATCCATACTTTATGAAGCCTAAACCCTGAATAGTAGTTTCCACTGTCATTTCCATTTTCCATACCTTATTAGGCCTAAACCCTGAATAGCAGTTTCCGTTTTCTTTTCCATTATCCACGCCTTGTAGTTTCCGTTTTCTTTTCCGTGGTCCGTACCTGATTAAGCCTAAGCCCTGAACCTTCCATAGTCCCTATGACACCTATATATATAATCCTTCTATAGCCCTTATATAATCCCTCTATAATCCCTGTATGATCCCTATATAACCCCTATATAATCCCTATATAACCCCAATGTATACCCTACCTTGTCTCCAAGGTTGGAGAAGCTGGTGCCAGGTGAGGAGCTGGGGGGCCAGGCCAGTCCCAGCTCCCTTGCAAAGCTAAAAGGTTTAAAGTTTTCGGGGTTTAGGGTTTAGGGGTTTATGCAAGCAGTCTGCAGACGATCCGGACGAGAATGAGGGGTTTAGGGTTTAGAGGGTTAAGGGCCTAGGCTTTAGATGGGCTTAAGGGGCGCAAGGGGTGAAGGGTTCCGGTGCAGGGTTTTGGGTACTTGGGGAATCACAGATTAGGTGATGTTCTAGCATTTTGTTGTTTGGATTTAGCATGCTAGTTCAGGGTTTGGGGTTCGCGCTTTGAGGTGTAGGGTCTAGGGAGCGCGGTTGGGTGTCTAGGCATTCGGACTTGGGGTTTAAAGATTCTGGTTTGGGTTTTAACCCTCAAGCACAGTCTCAACGGGATCAAAGGAAGAGGCCCATTCTATGCCGTCCAATTTCACTGCGAATCTCTTGCCTCTACTTCCAAACATAAAGCCCAAAAACCGAGCAAATCATGTCTTGCTCGAGCCTCATTCTGAAAATTCCCAACACCATAAGTACTGTTGATGGAGGAAATCCTGCGCCACCCCATGTTCCCTCTCTTGCTAGGAATTAGAGTAGCTTAGAGGCCAGGATCTAGTCCATGAACAGTAGTATTGGCAGGTCACCGGGGTAAAGCCCTTCGGCGTTTTCGTGAATGTTGGCGCTGAAAGTGACGGCCTCCTGCATGCTGGGGCCCCAAACTTGTTGGGAGGATGGGTGAAGGGCACCCTAAACCCTGAGCCCGGGTCTGTGTTTGAGGGTTGCGGGCTTCAAGGCAATCAAGGCAATTTGTCGAGGGTGACAGTGTTGGGCCTGGAGAGTTTGATCATATCCATGGTTGCTCACCCTTCGGTTTGTGAATTTCATGGTCTTTCAAACCCCTTTCAAGATGACCAAAGTCCGACAGAGTAGTAGATGCCCAAACTCAGTGGTGCAGCCCTACGGGACGAAG